AGGGTTCTCCTGGAAAAAAAGAAAGTACAAGTTAAGTATTACAATACCAAGAAAGTAGGAACCAAGAACAAGCAAAGAACAAATGAAAGAATTTTAGCACAGATGCATAAGGTTACCTTGAGTCACAAAGGAGAGGACAAAGACACAAAAGATGAATGAACACAACTTTCGGAAGGAAGGGGCTGGCTTCAGGGACTCACTTACCCAGAGCCTGCATTGCCTCAGCTCTGGTCCCATGAACAAGCGAGGTGGCTTTCCGTGAATCAATATCAATATCAAGTTCTGGGAGAGGAAATTCGGCTTCTGTTCCAGTCACCTGTGTAGGGCAAGGGTGCACATAGGAGAGCAAAAATTCTACAACAAAGGGTTGTTTTGAATTGAGCAACAGCCTGGAGCACCCACTGGTGTCAGCCAACCCTTACGACAGGGAGCCCTAATCAGAATTGAGCCAGCACCGGGTAAGCAGCACAGATAGGTGGAGAATCAATTTCCTTGGTGAATGAGTAACAAGGAAGGATTTTTTAAACCCTCCTCACAGAGTGTCCACAGGGAGAGGGTATGAAAAAGACAGAGGACTCCATTAAGTATCATAAATACTTAATTTCTGATAAGGAAAAATGAAATGATTTGCGATGTGTGTGGTATTTTGCTTCACGGATAATTTTGACCAAAGCCCTGCTTTACAGCTCTGATTCTCAAGGTCATCTTGGGTCAGCTTTCTTCCCCTTTCCTATTTCAGGATAAAAGGGTCAGTCATGGTCCAAGGAGGCTCTGTTTTGTAGCACAGCAAAGTTGATATAAGGGATTGGCATAGTAAAACTCAGTGTGATGACATTTCCTCTTTTTTCTAAATGTAAGTTTAGTACATAAAAGTAATACATGTTCATTGCATGTTTGGAATAGAGAATCATAAAATATAGGAAGTAAAATAATCCTTATCAGATGCAGTTATTTTTAAAACAAAAAAAATGGTCTGAATCTAATTCTAGGCTTAGAAGTGATATTAACAAAAGACAATAATGTACTTGATCCCCAGAGTGCAGTGCTCCATTGGGTAGTCGCGGACCTGACTGGACAGCAGCGCACCAGGTTCCCATAGTCTGAAGATTGACTCGCTTTCCTGTTGCCTGTCAAGCACACCCCCTTGGAAGGTGAGCAGGCCAGCTGCCAAGTGTGTGGAAGTGGGCTGAATTAGCCAAGTGGGACTGATGGTTCTGATTGATGGAGATACCATAGCCTTTTTCTCAGAGCAACTGCATCGTGTAATTACAGAGGAAGCCATGTAGCTTTTGTTACTTAGACCAGACACCTCTGATGACATTAGCCTACTATTAGCCTCCATTTTAGAGATTTATAATACTGAGACTGAATCTGTTACGTAGGTAACTACCTGAAGGTCACACAAAGAATGAAGAACAAAATCAGAATTCAGATCTGCTTAACACCCAGGTCTATGTATTACCTGCTATAACCTACTAACTTTCTGATGGATTAGGTTATAGTTTATAACTACACGTAAATAAGATATTTATAGCTGGCTTCAACTTTTTTATGTCTCTGGGACTGCATAAAAATATGGAAGATAAATTAACTTGAAAGTGTGGCTCTGCTATTCAAATAAATACTGGAAGAAATTTGATGGGTTGTAGTACAGGCTGGAAATGATATTCAAAGTAAAATAACAGAGGAAACAAGTCATTCTGAGGAAAAAGCTATCAGTGTGGATGACTAGCACCCAGCTTTGCTAAGAGTCAGTGCGATCTTATTTGTGCTTTTAAGTCAGAAATAACAATAGTCTCATCATGATTAAATCAAATTCTATATAAACTAAAGTAAGATAAACATGGCAAGAATACCAAGATAAGGCCACTTATGCTTTTATATAGCCATTTGGCTATTCAGATTAGAAACAAAAAAAATCAAGTGTAATAAATTTAATACATAAAATTTTTCTTGTGAGTACAATATTCTTTGGGTTAAAATGCTTAATATGTTTGCCTTATGATGTAATTATTAATATTATTTCTTATTATTGTTCACATTTTAGAGATGAATAAGATGAAGTTTAGTCAATATTATGCTGAATATCCTGTTGTTACCCATGCCAGATTGCAGTTTTTCTTGGTCAACTGAGGGACACCCTGTCTCAAAAAAAAAAAAAAATTAAAAGGGCTGGGAATGTATCTCAGGGCTAAGGCCCAGGGTTTAATCTCCAGCACTACACACACAGAAACAAAACTTCCTAGAACAGCGCAGATGAATAAGATGCAATTGAATGTTACCCAACTGATACGCATGTGTTCAACATATACATGCATGTCTAACAGCACATTACTACATATGACAGTGGTGAACTAGGACTAATCCATCCCCCCTCTGCGCCAGTTATTGGAAACCCTCAATATGACCTCAACAGCAATTACAGAATGTTCATATGACATAATGTGTTAGTTTGCTCTGTGTACTAACAGACAAAATATCCAAAGAGACAATGACAAGACATATAAAAGAGTAAAAGTCTGACCCATGACTGGCCACATGCAGCCCAGGAGCCAACTGTTATCCACAGTAGTACCACAGTAAACAGGGTATGATTCATAAGTCAGACGAAGTTAGAAGAGTTAGGCCACCATCTCTAGCCACCATCCCGGGAAGCTGAACAGTATCTCCTTTAATGATCAGCACCAAATAGTCAGACCTGGTTAGCCACTGACAGCTTCCCTAATGTTTGCCTGTTTCCAATGTAGGACCAATCAGAGAGAGCCGAGTGTGTCCCCCAGCCAAGTATGCCGAATGCCTCCCTTGTAACTACATCTTCCTCACACCAGCAGCTTCCTCTCAGGGCATCTCCAAAGCCTTCCTTTTTGTTCATTTTGAAACTTTCCCAACCTCCACATGCCTTTGAATCTTTTCCTAAATGCAAGTCATGGTAGCTGACTCTTGCCATAGCAAGCTCGGAATAAATAGCCTTTACTTGCTCTTATTTGGGTGGCTTTTGAATTCTCACATAAGAAAAGATTTATTATTTGTATAAGACGAAAGTTCAAGCAATGCAAGGGAGAAACAAATCTCACCACCTAGGGATAAGTGAACATAATAGGTAATATTTCTCAGTGTCTGTAAACAGAACAGTGGCTGGCTGGCTGGATGGAAATGATTTTTGTAAAATGGCATCCTTGAATACATTCTATTTTACACTAAATATATTTGATGTGTTTACTGTAACAAATGGAAATAAATGAAAATGAGCCTAGAGGAATATTTGAGTGTCCAGTAACTATTTCTTCCCCACAAGTTTATTAGTTCCCAAAAGAGAGTTCTAAAGGTAAGTAAAATTACTGTAAAAAAAATAAGATATCATAGTCATTATTTTTAGTTTGGTGTTTCAAGTTTAAATAATACTGAATGCCTATCTGCTATGAAGAATAGGAAAAATTCACAACTACATTCCTTCTATCTTGATTTTCCCTCACACCTTTATATTGGTTATTTACATTAGCATGTTTGTTTTGCCAAAATCAGTACTGCTTACAATATTTTATGTAAAAATATCAATGTCTGACATTTATTGAAATCTACAGATTCCAAGTTCTGTTCTGTGTCTGCCTCCTGTATTTTCCTCCCTTTCTCCAAGCCTTTTTCTTTCATCTTTTTTCACCTTAGATTCCTAGAACAGGGCCATGTTCATAAGTGAACACACTGACATTTATTGGTTACCCCAGGCCCTTTCCACATTACCTAGCAGGATGCTTCACGGTAAGTAGTAGTGTTATTATAGTAAAGGCTGTTTATTCAGAGCTTGCTACCTTGACTTGCAGAAGGAAAATGGAGGCACTGAGAACTCGAATGAATTGTATAACACACACTTTGCAAGCAATGGAGCCAAATTTCAAATTAACCTCAGTCCAACATGGGGGTCTGAGCTTTTAACTGCTACACTGTATCCATCACTTTCAGTTGTTGAGGCTTATTTTTACATTTGAAGTATGCTCACTTACCATACTTTACTATGTTTTTCTATCTGTCTCTGAATTCTGTGATTCAATTCTTAGTTTGATGCATTTTACTGTTCAAAAATTTTCCAAGAAATTCATGAATATTGAATTCCCTGTAGTTTTTAAAATCGTCTAATAATATTTGTATCTTAAGAACAACTTAGGTGAATATGAAATTCTTGGGTCATATTTTAGTTCCCTCAGGCTTTAATTACATTGTTCTAAAACTTTTGTTAGAGATTTTCTATTCATCTTTATTGTCCAAACTCAAAAGTTACAGGCCTGTAGTTTCTTCATTTCCTCAAGAAGGGTTCCCAAATGCTTTATATCTTGTATTTTCTCATGATTAAAAGTGTCTTCCAGAATTTCTGTTTTTGAATGATGATGCAGCTGGATAACTACTCTTGGGTTGTATATCTCAAAATTTATATCAATTTATTATCTCTAACTTTGGATAGAACCATAGCACAAAAGTACTCTGAATTTATTGGTTTATATCTTTGATTTTTTAAATACTGTCAATATATTTGAGGGAATCTTTCTTTATTCTAATGGTTTGAAAATGTAATCAGAACATAGCTTTAATTTTTCTTAAATTTCCCCAAACACAGTGTACCTTTTCTGTCTACATGTCCAATTTTGTTTCAGGCTAGTTTTTCTGTGTTATAACCCTGTGAATACTCTGTTCTACTTGTTAGGTTGTCTGCTTTACAGACACAGATTTTCTCATGTTAAATTTTCTTTGCCTATCTTACCTATATCATGTCTGCTAGCTGTTTTGTTCTCTTGTTCCCTTTCCTTGCATTTACTATGATTAACAGAAGCCTTTCCTACTTAACAATAGTGTTTTCAGTTCGCGGCTTTTACTCCTGGGTGCTTAGAATTCCCTTCACGGATCTATCATTTCCCTTGTGATCACACCTGTCAGTCACCTGCTCTCTGCACCCCGCTTTCACCTGGTTTCTTACTGTGCTTGTCCACAGCTCGGCACGCTCAGAGGAGACTCTTCTTTCCCTTGCACTGTGCTCTCTCCTCGACTGGCTTCTCCCTTCACCGTGTGCCCACAGCACGTGCACGCTGACAAGGCCGCACTGGCTGTCGATGACCCGGGCTCAGCGTGGGCAGCTCTGGCCAGCTGTCGAGGTGACCCGCGGTGGCACAGGTGGGTTGCTTCGGCTTTCCTTAGTTCTCTCGCCTCCATCTCTTCGCCCCTCTCCTCTCTCTCCCACCTCGGAGAAAGGGCATAGCTCAGGAGCAGGGAAAAGGACGGCTCAGCAGCTACTTACACTGCGGTGTGCTTCGGCAGAAAGTTCCCGTTTCATACTAGCTCCCATTCTGTCGAACAGCCGGTACACGGCTTATTTCACTTGATTAGAGGTGTGCCCACGTTTGTGCTAGAATCCACCAGACCAAGCCTTCGGTTAAATCCACTCGGTTCACGACGGAGCTCTGGAACTCTGTCCCTGCTGGGGTTTCTTGCTCTTGCTCTGTCCTCCTCCGGCGCAGATTTTGATCCCCGTAAGCTTCCGACGGTTTCCCTGCTCTCCTGTTTATCCGTTGGTCTGTTTCTTTGCAGATTCAAGATTTTAGTGCAGATGTCGGGATTTGCAGTACTCCCTTACTTTCCTCAAGATGACTCTACAGGGACAACAACAAGAGTAAGATCAGAACACGCACAAGCCACACCGACATTTCCTACTTTCCCTTTTGGGCTTCAAAGTTTATAGTATTTTCACTTTTGAACGGTTCCCACTCGTTCTTACTTTTCCTGCTTCATGTGTGTTTGTTCAGAGGTGAGAAGGGAGAGTCTGACCTCAGGCATCGGCGGCACTGAATGGGAAGGCTGTGGACTGTTGAGGGCACTGATCACGAAGGCTGCCTCCCGAGCTGGAAGCAGAGAAGCTCCATCAAAAGCGGGGAGCTTTGGCGAGAGTGCTCAAACTGCAGTGTCTGCCAGTCAGGTAAAATGGCGCTTACTTATACCTGACTGTATTTCTCAGTGATTCAGGTGTTCTTTTACAGTGAATAAATAGGAGATGATAGAGATGCGTTGTTTGTGTCAGTACTATGGAAGACAAAGTAGCAATGACAACACGCTGTGGACAGAAAGCCATGTCGCCACATACCATTCAGAAAGTCCCCCGGCTACTGGGGTAAAGCTCCGTGCGCACGAGGCTGACACGAGCTAATCTGTGGACAGCCTTGGCACAGGCCCGGCTCCCTGTGAGCTCCCAGGGTTCACTTCTGCAGTGGACGAATCAGAAGAGGATCTAAGCGTCATTTAGAAAGGGATGTTTTTCTGTTAGTGCTGGGAACCCCGGAAGTGTAAGACAAGGCTCTTGGCCTTTGGGCTCGGCCCATCTGCTTGCATTGGGTTACACTGCGGGAAGAAGCAGGAAGACAGCATATGGGGCCAGGCTGCCCACGAGTCAGGTGATGCCCATCAGCACGGGGCACCTGTGGTCCCTGTTTACCTGCTTATTCAGCAGATGCTGAACAAGGATGGCAGGCCATCAAGATCCAGGGCCCACTTAGAATCAACACTGCCAGAGGAAAGGGAAGAGAGCAAAAGGTTGAGGGAGTTGGTCTCCGAGATGGTTTTTGTGCAGGCCTCAGCTGCCTCCACAAGGACCTCTAAAGTCACAGTGGCCCCCGAGAGGAGTCTGCCCTGAATATTTCCACACTGACCAATCATGCCTGCAGGTTGTCCAGGGGCTACTGGGGTCCCTTGTCTTCTCCCTCAGAGGGTCACTTCTGGCCAGGGCTGAGCCTAGATGGGCAGCGGGGCTCCGTCAGTGCTGAAGTGGCTCTGCATGTGCCCAACAGCATCCACTCTGTGTGACCTGCTCTTTAAATGTCACATGGTCCCTGCCCCAAATAGCTCTGAAATACCACTTAGGATGAAACCCGTAGGCAGCTTACTAGCTGCATTTTAAGAATCCATCTAATTACCATTTTTATTATACACTCTGATGACCAGAAGAAAATAGATAGTGAAAAATATCAATGTATCTCTAGTGGGAATGCATTGTAACAGGTGATTAACACAGTTTGAGAATCTAATATAGATACTGATTGCATTTAATCTGATCAATCCTGGTCATCTATCTACATTTGAAATACCATAAGTATGTGTCTTTATCTGCAAACAGATATATGCAGATCTGTCTTGTAAACAAATTTCATTTTTATGTATTCATGCAAATAACTTGTTTTTCTGGAGTCAGACTCAGGCAGTGTGAGAAGTATAAAGAAGAAGTATGCTAGCTCCCAACTGGCTAAGGGGAGATGAAATACATGCACAGGAATCACGGGCAGCACGGCACTTTTTAAGAGTTACATGGCCTGAAGTCCACATGGTGGGATAGAAAAGTGCATCTGAGAGTCTGGTCAGGTTGCTCGAGTCCAGATCTCAGCTCTGCTACCTCCCAGATCTCGGCCCTTGATGTATCGGTGCCTCACTTTCTTCACTGTCAAATAGGCTTTATGATACCTGTAGCATAGGGTGATAATCAGGGTTATAGGAGTTAACATTTGGCTATGATCTATGCCTATGACACAGAGCAAGAAATGTAGTCTTATTTTTCTTTTCAAAACAGGATCAATTACTTAGAACTTCTTCAAATCTGTTCAAAAAGTAAAGCCATGTTGTTGCTGTTTTTGGTACCGGGGATCAAACTCAGGACCTTGTGCTTTCGAGGCAGGTGGTGACACCACTGAGCCAAATCCCTGGCAAAGCCATGTTCTTACTGCGGGGCTTAGGTTCATGTAAGAGTCAGGATGTTCGAAGAACATTTGGTCAGCAGTGCATACTGGTCATCACTCTTGCAGTGATGTGGTTCGGGTATGGTTTGCCGTGTCCCCAGGCATCTAGGTGTTGAAATTTAGTCCTCACTGGGAGGTAGCAAAAGGGTGGAATAGAATCTGAGTGAAGGGTTTTGAGATGGAGCCTCTGGGGTGCGGTGTGGTCAGATAGGGTCATCTCAAGTCTCATGACTGGATGTTGGTGGCTTTATAAAAAGAGGGAGAGAAACCAGAACACACACATGCACACAAGCACACTTCCTATGCGTTGCTGCGATGCCCCACATGGACCCTAAACATATGCTTTTCCTCCTCCGTGAAGGAGCACTTGGCCCTTTGCTGTGGCTGGGGGCTCCATTCTGGGGCTGAGGAGCTTCTCAGGTGTTAATGACCCAACTGTCTTCTTCCCCTGAATCTTCCTGGTTGTAGAAAATGGGCCAGCAAAGCTTTCCCTGTCACTTGTGAATTCCTCAGGCTCCTACTGTCACTTTCTCCAGAAAAATTCTCCTCCAAAAGATAATTTCACAACTTTGAAGTCCCTCTTCCTTTTCTTTTTCCTTTTTGAGACAGGGTCTTGCTATGTAGTCCAGATTGGCCTAGAGCTCAGTATTTAGCTCGGGTGGGGCACAAACCTTCGATCCTCCTGCCTGAGTGTCCTGAGTGCTGTGATTACAGGTGTGACCACCATGAAGAGCTTCTCCTAACCCAGTTCCATATTTTCTTCTGCCCAGATTTTTTAAAACAAATGTTACATTGGCACTGACCTTTTGGATACTCTTGCCATTTTTTCTATTTCTGGGGAAAAAGCAAAACCAAAACAGCGATGCTTCCTTTGCATGAAGAGGTGTGGGTTATTTACAATAGTGAGAATAAAACGCAAGTTAGTATTCCAGTGTATTATTCCATAAAATAAAGATTGCTCTATGTTAAGTAAAGTTTATTTCCTCCTATTTAACTTGTAGTTGCAAGATATTATAAAACCCATTGCGTGTACGGGTTTGAAATAGCCTCAATATTTGCAGGATTTGAAAGCAGTAACTCTAGCAATCTGTTGTTACCACAAGGAGTGAAATAGCAAGAGAATTCTTCTTTTTCCCACCCTTCCTTTTATATCTGTTTATCAAATTGCCCACAGATGGTTCAGATCACAGGGTTTTAGGGCTTTTTAATTGGAAAAGTGAGTGCATTCTTTGGGATTGTATTGTTCTCACACTTCTATTCTACTTTCTAGGCAGGTTTGCAGACCTATTAAGATGTTAAGATACACTGCTGTCAAAATAACTTTACTACATTCCCCCAGACAGAATACTGAACAGACTGAATGTGCACTCAACAGCCCTGTTTTCTCCGGTGATAGGAAATGAGAGACCTGTAAAATAATATTTTCAAAAACAGATACAACATCAAATGAACTCTTGAACTTCCCAGACACAACTCAAGTGGAAATGAGTTAGAAAATGAAGAGAAATTTAGAAATAGCAGAAAGAAATATTAATAAGAAAGGACAGAATCCTAAATATTTAGCTGTACCTTACATTGTTATGACTCCAAATATTTTGGTAAGCATCTGCCACACTATCTGAAAATAAAATGATAATACAAATTCACGAACAAAATTCTCTAGAAGAATGATGTTTAGGAAGGTTTTTCTTCCCCCACAAGCTCCTTGGGGAAGTAGCACTGTTAATTTCTTGCAAGTGTCTTAGGACAACATTCCCACTAACCTGTCAGTATGTAACCTTTATCTGTGGGTGTTTTTCTGTTTAATGACACGTCTTCGATATTTATTGCTGGTTCACTAACACTGACCTCATGGCCCAGAACTCTGCAAGTCTCCTCTGGACAAAGCTTCTCTAACACTGCTTCCTCCCGAGGCACAGACTTCTTGGGCTAAGGAGCATCAGATGAACTTCAGTCCTATTCTTTGGGGGTCAATTCTAAAAGAAAAGTTTTGAAAATACCTGAAAATCCTTTTATAAATGTGGCATAAATGGAATGCAAGAAAGGCAGAGTCTGGGCTTTTTTTACTTCAGATGACTGGAATATTTTATCACATCCTGTGTGCATGTCCATGAAGAACCATGAAAACAACATGAATAATAATAGTTGGGTCTTAAGTAAATTGTAAGGGTAGGTGAATCTACCTCTGAAAAATGAAGATCTACTATCTTTGACTTTTTTTTTTTTTTGTACCAGGGATCGAACTCAGGACCTTGTGCTTGCGAGGCAGGCAGCAGAACCACTGAGCTAAATCTCTGGCCGATCTACTGTCTTTGAAATAAATGCTGGCTGTGTCACCAGTGCCCTAAAGGCACAAAATAACCAGAGTCTCCTTTGAATGCTTGAAGGTATTTTTTACTGGTTCATAGTGAGTTTGCAACATTAACATTGGGAGGGATATTAAAGATTAATCTTAATTACTTTCCATAGAGGAATTACCTTCCAAAAGGAAAGGCAGCTTTTCCACAATTATAAGTTAGATAGTAGCAAAACAAGACCCACATTTCTTGATCCTAAATCCATTTCTCTTTCTACCATCCCACACCATACAATATAGAGGATACTTCTTCAGAAAACTAATTTGAAGGTTGAGATTATATCAAACCAATCCTTGCTTTAAATTCATCCCCCCCAAAAGTGAGGTATTCAGCACTGGAAAAGCAACCCGGATTGCCGGCAGCCTTGATTTGACTCTTCCGAATGGAAAACCGCTGGGTCTAGCCTTATGACAAACTGCAGCATCTCTACACACACAAAAATGCCTTCAGCACATCCTGAGTAAAGTCAGCCAGTGTGACTTTGTATTATTAAAATGGTAAGCTAAATGTTAAAAATGTGTTCATAGTCTATGTGGTATCAAATCTAGACTTTCATGTTCTGACTGAGTGCTATGTATTAATTATGATCCAGCCTAAAGTTTAAGTACTCAAAACATCCAAGGCAAAAGCTAAACCAAAATCTAAGGTGTCTTATTGCTTTTGGACACTAGTAACCCAAGGAAGATTTACTTTCAAATACTATGTCTACTTTGAAGTTAGTGACAGTTTAAATATCAATAAGCTAATTCTAACCTAAATGATAGATAGATGTCTGAAACATTAAAATATATTTAATCATTTTAATAGCGTA